GTAGCTGTGTGTGTATTTTATATATTTTTTTCAAAAAAACTTACCATAAAGCGGCGAAGAAATGAAGCAGAATGGAAGAGAAATAAAAAGTCGCAGAGCAAGAGAAATAAAAAATTGAGATCAGCTGCAAATTTAAATGTAAAAGAAGGTACTAGAATTATATTACATAAACATTTTTGGGATTTATCCAATGAGGGAAAACTAATTTAAAAAAAAAAATACTGTATGTTCATTAAAAAAACAGAGTACTGTTAAAAATAATTATTCTAAAAGACAACGTGAATTTTCTTACAAATATTTTTTTATGTTAATGATGAACAGATACGAGTTTGCAAGCAATTTTTTTTGGATACACTTGATATTAGTCAACGTCGTGTATCGTATTTTCATGAGAAAAAAGGCAACAAGTGAGTGGAGTTCCTCTGCCAAATAATCGTGGAAAACATACAAAAAAGGCAATTTTCAGTGAGCAGCGATATAGTGTGAAATCTCATATAAACATTATTGAAAGAGTCGAATCTCAATATTGCCGCAAAAATTCTACAAAAGAATACTTTGATATAAATTTAAATTTATCAAGATTATATAGTCTTTATGTGGAATGGTGTAATGAAAAAATTATTCTTCCCATTAAAGAAAGCTTCTAGAGGCACACATTTAATTTTAAATTTAATATAAAATTCTTAAAACCAAAAAAAGATAGGTGTGATGTTTGTAAACTTTTGCAGCTTAAAGAAAAAATAACACCTTAATGGAAAAAGAACGTGTTCGCTTTAATAACCACTCAATATTAAAAGAAATTACAAAAACAGAGCGTGAAAAAATCGCAAAAATAATGAAGAAATTTATTTATTTTTTTTGCTTACCTTCTAGATTTTTTTTACCACCACCTTTTGTTTTTTTCATTGACGTCATATTGGAATTTTACAACGTTAGTTAGAAAAAAAAATCAAGGAATCCAAAAATGAACTCCGTGGGTAATTGGAGAGCACAATTCGTAGTTTTTTTGTTATGAGGTTAAAAAAAGATCGAGCTTGGCACTATTTGTTATCATTAAAAATAGGTAGAAAAAAAAACAATAAAAATACCATGTAGATGTTGACTCTAGGGATTGCTATGGCATCCAGGAGCTCCATACTTGTGGAATATTCCAGTTCTGATCCCGTTTGAGATGAGATGTCGGATGTGTAAAATCCCGGAGTTCTTGACTCGTGTAATCGTTGAGTTCTTGTTTCGCCTGAAATCTTCTTGCCAATTGTCAGTAAAGAATCCACTAACCAGATGCACAGAGAACCACTTTTTCAGAACAAATAAATGGTCAAGAACAGAAATAAGGAACATAAGATATAATCTCACCTTAGATAATTAAAAACATTGGATAAAATAAAAAGTAAAAATAGAAAAATCGAAAAATGTAAAAAGTAAAAAAGCCAGATCTCTTCCGACAATACTAACTAATTGTGATAAAAATCAGAAATACTTAAAACTTATGAACGTCTGCACGAGACCGTGCATCAAGCGTTTCCCCTCGGGACTTTTAATTCCCATCTTACTCTAAAAATTTTATTAAGGATAAGGATTAAGAAAATAATAAAGATTAATTAAAAAGAAATAATAAAAGATAAGTATATATTTTATGTATGTAAATTAATATCTAATAAGATGTATTTGATTTTATTTTAAATAACGGATGGAGAGGTGTGAAGACTTATTACCCTGGTAAAAAGCAATTGAGCTTTGAAAAAGTTAAATTAAAATGTAATACATTAAATAAATATATTTATAATATGGGTATGTTATTTTTTAATGAAATAAACACATAATAAACCATACAAAGTTATAAACCATACCAATACCAAAAAGTATAATAGATAATATAAAAAAATTGTATATAACACATAAAAATATTTTTTTTAAAAATATATTAAAATTGTAAACTACTCACAAATTCAATATAATTAGATACCTACTTAATATAGGTAATACTTTATAACAATACTTTATATGCAACCAACATAACAATGTTAAACAAAATTTATGAATAACCTTAAACTGCTTCATCAAAATCTTTGAACTAAAATTTATAATCGCATTAAAGAATAAATTTAAAACTACAAATACCCCTTGTCAAACAAAAAAACATAAATGAAATAAATGTATTTTTTCATTAATTAGCACATAAAATCTAATTTTTCGTATACATAAAAAATAAGCATATAAAAGTGCTCTTTTAGTTCCACCCTTACATCCAAACTAAGATGCCCCATAAGCCAACTGAATGGCTTGTATTAATATTAGTATTGTATTAGTATTAACGTATTATATCTTTCCCAAACTCTTATAAACTCATTTAGACAATTTATTAACGACCTTACACATAACAAACCTTGGAGATAATTTTGCTGAAAGTTGCTAACTTGTATATGACAATCAGGCCAATTCACTAACAAGAGTCCTTAACGTTAGCCACTAATCAGTGGCTATAGACCAATCCGGCCAATCACGCGGATTGAATATAACGATAACCACTAATTCTAGTGGCTAACGTTAACGACTCATGTTATTGAATTGGCCTGAATATGCGACTACACTTTTATACTAAAACTCCTTAATTAAATTTCACGTCCCTTTTTCTTAAGTTATAATATTTTTACGCACGTCCATGTGCTTCATTTAGTTGAGACCGTACCTTATCAAAAATTACTTTTAACTTGCAAACTTCTTCGGCATAATTTTCCCTATCACGTGAACTAGAATTAATCGGACTCTTGAAGTCTAGTGCTAATAATAGTAATTTTTGTCCAAAAAACAAAAAGGTAAGTGTTAAATGTGTAACTTTATAAATAATTTTATTTAATGTAGGTATAATCTATTTTATTCAAGTTTATATCCCATTTTCTATGTTCTTTACCTAAGATGCATGCCATGCACCTATGGTTTTATTAGCTCTTTTAACTCTGTAAATATCTAGAAGAATCCTCTTTTTTTAACAATTTTACATTAGCAAGAGTTTTTTTACCTTGTCTAGCCCTATTTGATTTTGTAAGAAAAAGATTTACTCCGCGCTTGTCCAACCATTCTTTGAACAAACTATATTTATTTTTATACCTATCGCTCTTTCGATTTTTAAGGAAGGGAATTAATTGCAACTATTCTTGCCTCTTTAGCAAGATCTTGCGGCAGGTCTTCTTCGCTAGAACTCATTTTTAAAACGTAGAAAGAATTTCAAATTTAAGATAAACAATTTGACAGCTTATAAAAACTGTTGTTTGTTTTACCAAAAATATATTTTTATACCATAGCAACAAAGCGTTGTCAACATAACGTCGGCGCCACCTACTTAAGATTTTGTCATAATTTTAAAGCCCCATACCGGGTTAGTAAATTTTAAAGGAACCGTGGTATGTATACATATAAATAGCTATTTCTTCATACCTTGTTCGAAAGTACTTCGTCTCTGCTTAAGTACTTTCGAGCGGTGCACCGGATTAAAATTGTCAAAAATATTCTTCTTTTATTAGGATATACATTAAATAAAAATAAAGCAAGAAGATAATAATTGAAAGGTGTTGACGGGATAAATAATATAAATAAAACAATAATTGTATTAATACAAAAAATTTATATTTTTATTTGTGTTTACATGTGAAAATAAAATAAAATAATATTCTTAACAAAATAAACCACAGCCTACTCGGTCAAAAAAGAAATAAACAACAAAATAAATAAATATTCTAATTAGTCAAAAATTAATAGGTCAAATATCAAAATTTGGATTTAAAAATTTAATTTATTCATTTCAAATCCTAATTGTTCTTCTTTCAGCTTTATATAATTTTCTAAATAGTTTTTAATAAGCTCAAAATGTTTTTTTTTGATTTTCTGCTCCTTGTTCAAATTTATCCTGCCATGGTTGGCCCAATGGATAATCTCCATCCATTGCATCCAAATATCGTTCAACTGTTGAGGAGTGGTGTTTTTTTTATCTTTTTCTTTTCTTTGTTGCTTTTGCGTTACCACTAACCATTGATTGACTTCTTCACTCAACGCACTAACAATTTTATTCATTATATATTATTTGTTCTTTTAAATGTAAAATTATCTTACCTCATTTTATTCCTCAACCAGTTTAAATTTCTTATTTTTTGTATTATGCTGATACATAAATGAAAACCGATAAACTGTGGATAAACCAAATAATACATATAAAAATATAGGTTATTTTGATCGTAAGTAAATAGGCGTGAAGTTGCAGTAGTTCGTTTATACTACTTTAAATTAGACATTTACAGATAACATCCCAGAATTGCCATTACGATTCTATAAGCATTACAGTTACAGATCATCGTAAGCTATATATTTACGAATTTACAGAAATTTTACGAGAGAACCCAGAATTGACCTATTAGTGTCATGGAAACATGTACGATAAAGGGCGTTTTAAAGATGGGAGTAGAAAAAATTATAAACATAATAAGATAAAATTTATTATAGATGTGCGACATCATTTTGTGAGGGATATTGTTTCTAATAATATAATTTAGTTAAAGCACGTATCTTATAAGTAGTGTTTGACATTATAAGTTTGTTAAATGTGGTTTAGTAAGTAAGTTTTTTAAAACATTTATTTTGATTTAGTGGGGTAAAGAGAATAGAATCTAGAAAGGATGCACTAAAACTTTTTATTTAAACTACAAATGTATGTACAAAATAACTAGTTAATTTCCATTTTTAAATTTGGTATTATTATCATAAAGATAATCTTTGATGTATCCTTAATCTCCAACACACTCAATAAGTGCACCCTGTAAATTTAATCAACAACCAATATCACATACAAATCCAAAATGGTCCATTATCTTGTATTTTATATATGCACATATTATATTATGTTATTTTTTTTTAATAAAACCTTGTTTATTTACATAAACATGTAATTAAAATCCGAGAACTTGAATATTATTTAACTAAAAAACACATTGTTCCTTGAATTTAGGCTTAAAAAATAATGCTTACCAAGCAGTTTTACAACTATAGATAGTATAAATATCACGATGTAGAAAATAACTTTGATCACAATCATTAAAAATGTTAAAGTTAACTGTACTATTTGCACTATTCGGTTGTGGGTTATTAGCAACAGTGCTTCGTAAGTTTGTTTTTCCTGTTGATTATTGTGCTTTTTAATTGATTATTTTTCTTAGCATCATACCTTGAACCATGCCAAATTTCCGATAAAAAATGTTTGACTGACCATGCACAAAGTGTCCTTAAATCGATCTTAAAAGGTAAGTTTAAAAAAATGTAGTGAAGAAAATATTTGCGTATGGGTCAAAATCATCTATACAAATTGTACATATTTAATCTAAAATGTATATATTTTTTTACTTCTTCTTTTAAAATGCCCATCGTATATTTTTTATTTTAAAAACAAGCGTTTTAGTAACAGTGGCTTTAGTACTACACTTAGTTGACTTATCAAATGTCATAAAATCGTCATAATGCGTTTAGAAAGGAGGTTAAATCATTCTGACTGAAGTCAGATTTTTTAAAGTATTTAATTTCCTTGTCGGTTCTAAACTTTTCTAGACATTCATTTAATAATAATAATAATAATACTAACTTGTAACTGCCTTTTATCAAACTTTATACAAAATATACCATTTTTTTCAAGCGTACAATAATTTTTATATGACTCATAAGTCTTGTAAGACTTCATATTAATACTAGGGCTGGGCGATTATCGAAATTGATAATCGATCATTGATTATCTATAATAATCGATTTTTTCGATTAATCGAATATTTGATTAATCGATTATTAATTAATCGATTAATGATTAATCGAATTATTGATTTATAGATTATTTGATTAATCGAATATTTTAATAAAAATTATTAATTTTCTTGTTTTTTTATTACTTATGACCTAAATTATGCATGCAATACAAGTTTAAAATTTTTTGCGTTTTCTGAAAAATTACTGTTTTTAAGTTGTTTAGTTAAAAAAATGCTTTATTGGTCATATTATTTCTATTTATATATTTGATTGTATTAATTATAACAATTAATTAATTATAATAATTATTACGATGAGATAATTAGGTATGGGAATTAAATATTGGGCATAATGTACCTATAAGTAAAAATGCTGATATAATGTACAGGGTGATCCCCTATATTCTCGCCCCCCTTTAACTTTTTTATTTTAAGTGTCCAAAAAAATTTAAGTGTGGTTATGTAGGTACTAAAAAATCCTTTTTTCTACGTATTAAGAAAATTGGAAAATTGATCAGTATACAGGGAAAAACAAAAAGTTTATTTTTTTTCAATGGATCACTTTATATATGAATTTATTTTTCGATTCCTTGTAATATTCTGAGCATAATTCATATAACAAACCATATACCTAAATTCAACTGTTCCTGAAATATTCGCATTCGAAATGTTATCATTAAATGTTTTTTAAAACTGTTAAAAATAACCCTCAGTATAGCAAAATTTGTATTGAAAATAAATTACTATAGTGACATTATGTCAATATGATTTGTTAAATAGGTAAAAATCTGTGGGAAAAGGCATAAGGGGATAAGTCAAAAAAAGCAAATTTTCAGTAGAGCCTTAAACGTATTCGCATTAATTCAGGAAACATATTTATGGTTAGCGGGTATACTCTTTTGTTAGCCCATGTCAAATGCTAACAAAAGCGTATACGCTTTTGTTAGCATATGCGGGTATATATATATGGGTCAGAATTTCTCAAACGGGCCACCTGAATTAGGTCAAAATTAGTTTTTGATTGTAGATACATTTTTTCGATAGTATTTTACATCACTAACACAAATCCTAAAGGATTTTGTAAAAAAAAAATTTTCAATTGACATATTCATGATATTAAAAGTAAAAATTTTTAGTAATTAAAAAATAAAAAAAAATCATTATGGCTAAACTAATTATCCGATTCCAACGATTTAACTAGCGTTGGAATCTTGTTTTAACATAGATTCTTTGTTATTTTTTTCAATTGTACAATTTTCATTTAGGTCGATTTTTTTTTGTTTTTTTTATAACAAATTCGGAAAAAATTGGCTTCTGCGCCAGCTATCGACTCGAAAAAAAAAACACATATACTCCAATCATTTTTCGAAATTATGCTGCTGAGAAAAAAAATGGCCCGCAGGTTCCAGACCACCGTAAGACGTCGCGTCACAAGCGCGTACAGCGTACACGGTTCGGAGCGTGAGCTGACACCGCGCGCGGCCACAAAAGGACGAATAACTTTTTGTCAACCTGCGGGCCATTTTTTTTCTCAGCAGCATAATTTCGAGAAATGATTGGAGTATATGTGTTTTTTTTCTCGAGTCGATAGCTGGCGCAGAAGGCAATTATTTCCGAATTTGGTATAAAAAAAACAAAAAAAAATCGACCTAAATGAAAATAGGACAATTGAAAAAAATAACAAAGAATCTATGTCAAAACAAGATTCCAACGCTAGTTATATCGTTGGAATCGGATAATTAGTTCAGCCATAATGAATTTTTTTATTTTTTAATTATTAAAAACTTTGACTTTTAATATCATCAATATGTCAATTGAAATTTTTTTTTTTGCAAAATCCTTTAGGATTTGTGTTAGTGATGTAAAATACTATCAAAAAAATGTATCTACAAACAAAAACTAATTTTGACCTAATTCAGGTGGCCCGTTTGAGAAATTCTGACCCATATATATATATATATATACGGGTATATATATATGCGGGTATATATACCGCCCTTATGCCTTTTAACAACAGAAATGGCGTACTCAGACAGAGAAAGACAAAGTATTTCAACTTATTATCTTAAAAATAATTTAAATATTTCAAAAACGGTTGAATTTAGGTATATGGTATGTTATAGAAAATATGCTTAGAATTTTACAAGGAATCGAAAAATAAATTCATATATAGGGTGATCCATTGAAAAAAAAAACTTTTTGTTTTTCCCTGTATACCTACTGAACAATTTTCCAATTTTCTTTATACGTAGAAAAAAGTATTTTTTGGTAACTACATAACCACAATTTTAAATTTTTTGGGAAACTTAAAATAAAAATTTTAAAGGGGGGCGACATTCTAGGGGATCACCCTGTACGTACATTCTTTATTTAAAATAATATTAATTATTATTATAATAATTATTATTATAATAATTATTATTATAATATTATTAATTGTTTCGACCTTTACTTGATGAAACTCCATATTAACTATGTAGATATAAAAACAATTTTGTTGTAAAGTTTCACGAAATTTATTAAATTTTGACAGCTGTTTCGCTACACAGTAGCTTCATCAGAATGTATTAAAACTAAAGATTGTACAAAATATATATAACAAAAAATATTGGTATTCTAGGTAAGGATAATCATTTAACATCTACCTGTGTTACATAATAATAAACTAGGATCACATTCAGAAATACTTAATGGGGAAAAACCTAATCTGTTTATAGTTTGTATTTTATTAATTAAATATTATAAAAGTGTGAATATTTTATATAATGCTATTGTAATATGTTAATAAAATTAAAATAGATTTAAAAGTGGTGAATTATTAGTTTCTATTTGATCATTGAGAATATTATTAGTATTTTTAAGTTTATTAATTTCTAGAGATTCGAGTAGATTTAATTTAATACCTTTGTTTTCCAAATGTAATATTTTAAAGTTGTTATTAAAAGTATGGTTTTCTGTAATAAGATGTGATGCATAGGCTGAATCGACTTTTAGATTAATATATGATCTCCGATGTTCTTTAATCCTAGTAATAAAACTACGGCCGGTTTGTCCTATATAAGTTTTAGGACAATCTGTACACGTTAATTGGTATACGCCTGACTTCATATGCCTATTAGACTTATCTTTGTTATTTTTTATGAACATACTTAAATTGTTATTAGTTTTAAACGCGATATTGGCATTAATGTTTTTGAAAAATGTGGAAACATGTCTCATGTTGGAACCTACATATGTACAAGTATTGAACGTATTAATTGGGTTGATAAGAGAAGGGAAAGTTTGTTTAATAGCTAATTTATATCTTTTATTTTTGAGAATATTCATAATTAATTGTGCTTCATAGCCATTGTTCACTGCAATTTGTTTTATTAAATTTAATTCGTCGTTGAAATCTACATTAGATAAAGGTATGTTTAAAAGTCGGTGTATCATTGAATAAAACGCTGCTATTTTTTATTACCTGACAATGCCAAATTAATCTCTTTCGACATCACTAATTTATTCCCAAACGTGCCTCCATTAGAAACTACCCATTTAATAGAAAAGCTTTTAGAACTAAATAAAATCAATCCTGTTATTAAAAATGATATTTTAAGGACTCTAGATATTTGCTTAAAACAAAACTATTTCCAATTTAATAATAAGATTTATACTAGTCGTAACGGTTTAATTATGGGTAACCCTCTTAGTCCATTACTTGCGGACATTTTTGTTAACCATATAGAATTAATCATCCAAGAAAGCGGACATTTTAAAAACTTTTTATATTGGTTTCGATATGTAGATGATATTCTCACTTGCTTCACAGGTACAAATAGACAATTAATTAGTTTTCATAATTTTATAAATAATATTCATCCTAACATAAACTTTACAATAGAAGTAGAACAAAATAACCAAATTAATTTCTTAGATCTTACTATTCTAAAAAATAAAGGCTTTCACACTTTTAAAATATATCACAAACCCAGTTATACAGATTTAGTCATACACTATTCATCTATGCATCCTTGGTCCCAAAAAATAGCAGCGTTTTATTCAATGATACACCGACTTTTAAACATACCTTTATCTAATGTAGATTTCAACGACGAATTAAATTTAATAAAACAAATTGCAGTGAACAATGGCTATGAAGCACAATTAATTACGAATATTCTCAAAAATAAAAGATATAAATTAGCTATTAAACAAACTTTCCCTTCTCTTATCAACCCAATTAATACGTTCAATACTTGTACATATGTAGGTTCCAACATGAGACATGTTTCCACATTTTTCAAAAACATTAATGCCAATATCGCGTTTAAAACTAATAACAATTTAAGTATGTTCATAAAAAATAACAAAGATAAGTCTAATAGGCATA